CAGCTGTTTCCCATACAAGGCAGTTCTGGTGCTACTTGTGCCATGAGCATCCCTGGGGCTGTTGACTCTTGGACCAGGACTCCAAAAAAGAGTCAGGAGGAGTTGGACCAGGCTCCTTCTGCACCTAAGCCATCCTTCTTAGCGGGGGGGATGGCACTGCAGGGAAAACCATAGATGACCTGATTATCTGGGTGTATGTGTGAAGTGAACAGAGCAGGCTCAATATCTTCACTTTTCAAAGTTCTGGCTTAAGAGTCACAATCCCTTAATATAGTTTATGGCCGTTTTAAGAATATTAAATGTGGCCGTGCATTATCACCTCTTGTTCATTTCCATCTATCAGGCACTGACTAGATAACATAAGCTCTTTGGACTTTTTTTATTGTTTTTGTTTTACTCAAAAGTAAATACATTTGGTTTGTACAGCTGCAAATGGACTGTTTTCTAGACACAGTCCAACAGGGAATGCGAACAGGGAGAAGACGCTTGATGTTGTGTGGTTTCAGTGCCAATAACTGTTCTAGGAAACTATTAATCAACTATAATGTTACACCTCAAAAATGTGTGCTAACTTTATAGCTGGTTGCCATCCAGCTTTAATTTGCACATGTAGCAGGGGCTCCTCTGTGGCTGGGAGCCCCATCAGCTGAAACGTAATGCATGATACAACACCACAGTTCCTGGCATACTTGTGTGACATGGCAGGAGGGCGACTGTGTGGATCCTGCATTAGATCCCATTGCACCTTTACCTGCATGTATAGAGGGGCCCTCTTATTGATAACAATGGGTATTTCTGGTAGTACAGCCATGTCAGAAGGTCATTCATACAAACTGAATGTGCAGTAAAATGTGTTTCAATGTCAGTCTTCCTCCATTGACCAAACTTATTATCCATACCATAGTTTCCCCTCATCAATTTATATTTGCAGTTATGGATTTTTTTCATACGTGCCAGATTCATAGGGTCATATCAGGAGTTTTGATTTTGTTCCACAAATTTGTGAAAACTGTGTGGAAACAAACATTAGGGGAAATAATATTTATATAGTGCAATCAGCAATAACTCTTCAAGTCCTTTAAAATAATTGTTTCCTCACCTTTGGTCCTCCTTTTCACTTCCAGGAAAGTCACCAACAAAATCACCCCCATTTAATTTGTAACAGATTAACTAGGTGGAACCAGATTTTGCACAGTTATGAAGGGAATATGTCAGAGATGTAGTGCTTAGGATAGCACAACAGAAATTGTCACTCTTCAGAGTAATGCATAGGCTTTAACTGAGTGTTCTGGTTAAAGATTCAAAAAGAGAAGTTTTTCCTCCTTTCTAATATACCAACCACCAGATGATGAGCTGCTGCTTTTTCCAGACAGTCTGAGGTGTGTGTGACTATACTGCAAGAAGCATACAAATTGCCCACTAAGGTCAATGATATCGGTATATTATTGATAGTTTCTGTCTGTTTAAATGGCATCTCAATGGTGAACTTCAGCAGTGGTCCTGAATCATCCCCAGCTCTGCTGGCACTGCAGGCTTATGCGTGTCACTAGTATTAAGGGTGCAGACCAAGTGGGTCTGAATTTTGAAAGTTGGGCAAATATAAAAATGCTGCTTATATGCAAGTAGCAAAAAATAAAGAGAAGAATTATTAGGTGATTACATCTTCACTTAATTCCACTTTTCTTGTTGTTCCATTGTTAGGGAGTACAATGATATTGCTGTTTAGTACCCATTAAGAAACACTGCTTAAGCACTTCATCCATTTACATCATTATAATCAGGCTTTACACAAGCATAACAAAGGAGTAGAGACACAACTACAGATCTACAGCAATGCAATTTATTTGGATCCAATGTAGAATTACCCAAGTTAAAAAGAAGGGGAATACTACTCCAGTGGAAGTAAATGCCATGTAATATAATTGTCATATGTCTTCAGGTATCAGAGGTAGACATTTGTTATAGGCCAACAGTACAGGAAGTGAGAAATATTTGGTTCGTCCAAATATAGGGAAAGTGCCTCTTCCCATTTTAGAAACAGGGAATAGGCAGTGATATGATTTTGCAGGGCCCTGATGCTTAGGGGCCTGGACATCTGTACTCCCATTCCCCCTTTTCATAGGTCCTGCTGCAAGCTATACTTGCTGCCCTGTGTCCTAGTGGCGGGGGTCTGTAACAACACCTAGTGAAGTCTGATCAACTCAAATAGCGGTTCCTCTGTCCCCTCTCAATCCCAGTGTAATTTACATATGTGTTCACAACTGATGTAAATTACACATATGCAAATGAGTTGAATGTAAAAGAGGCCAAAAAAGAGCGAGTAACTGTATGTGGCCCTTCTGGATACTTGCTTTAATTTTGCCATCTGTGAAATATGTGTAATGCGTCCACTCATCAGATTTGTTTATGCCTATCCATGAACAGGGTTAGGAGGGCAAAAGGGGTTTTCTAGTCCTATATAAATCCCAAGTATAATCCGAGTCCTTGCCATCATGACCCTCAGACTTTACCCCTAATATCTTATATATCGGACAGGGGGTGCTCTGGAAGGGCGAATCTACACCCTGTAAAAAAAAGGCATGACAGGGAAAGGCACTGAATGGTCTTGCTGTGCTCCACACTTGGAATGCTACTAGTGTTGTTTTTATGAGCAGGGAAATGCTGAAAGTAGTTTATTATAATTAAATTTTAATTAGCAGCGAGCATAAACCAAAACGCTAATTCCATAGACTACTGAACTCTGGAAAGATTGGATACAAATACAAACTGCAGCTCAGGCCTTACTCCAGTTGGGGAGTGTGCACCAATGGGTCTGATCTGTTTCAGTGCTCAGGGGGTGACATTCACCCTGGGAGAAGGATCATCGCTCACATATGTGAAAGCTTCAGCTGCCATGTGAAGCTCTTTCTGGCCCTCATGGTTGCAGAGTGAAGCTTTAAAGTGTGCATCTGAGCCCTCAAAAGCAGAACTGAAAAAAAAAATCTTTTTTTTTTTTTTTGGCTTGGACTCATTTGGGTTGGCACCACGAATATAAGCAAAAACAATCAAGAATAGAATGATTATATATGAAAGGCAAATATGATTACCTGTCTAACTGACAACATGTAGGAGAGGTTGTCCAAAATGCTGACCACTGAATTAAAGTGGCCTTTGTTGAAGTCACTAGCAAAACTTCAGGCCTTGTTACACCCTACTCAGTGAGTTGTCTGTACTCGAGAGTAGGCAGGGAAGGGTTAACCTGCCTGCCCAGCCACCACTGCAGAGCCCACCCAGAGCGCAGCAGTGGCAGGAGTCAGGCAGGAAAGTTAACTCTTCCCTGCCTGTTTCTCTAGGACAGACAGCAAAGGCAGCCACAAGGAAGCAGAGCAGGGATGCAGTGAAGAGGGATCTGGGATGCGGGGAGGGTAGAGGGGGTAGTGGGCCCAATCCAGGCCAACAGGGTTGTGGGGGAGGCAGGTGGGAAGTTTATACTACGGTTTAGCCTAATGTGGCTACACCTTAGTGTAACACAAGTTGGGTAACATGGATCAGACATAATCCTGCCCTGGAGTGGTATCACTTTGAACCACCTAAGCAGTGGTAAAAAACAGTTTCAGGTGTTAATATGCAGACAATCCAGGTGTTAAGAGCTCCAGGAGCCATCCAAGATTACCATGTAACAGGGCCCTTCCTTGAGAATAGTTAGGCCAAGGTGAAAAAACCTAGGGTAAGCAGTAGGATACGTATTCTGTGCCTGTTCCTGTTGTAGAAAAATAACATAGCTGGAGCTCAACTCCTGATATCATAGGTAGATCAATAAAGCAGATGTTACTGAAGATGGAAACAAATTCATTTGTCATATCCATACTAATTAACAAGTTGCTTGAAAGTTTGCAGGTGACTTATCAGTCACCCACAGCAATTGCCTCATTGAATCAACAGCTAGCAGTATGCATGAAGCAACAATGATTGAAGGGACAGTATGGCATTTTTTCCCCTATTTCTGTAACTCTTTCAAGCTTAGACTTTTTCAGCAAAATAATCATTTGTGTCTTCATCCTTCTTTCACCCTAGACAGAATATTCCCATAGACACTGTCCAATCTAATTTCCATACAGCCAGCACAGACACTTTTACATTTTAATTTGCATTCAACTGGCAGATTCAGTCTGTAGAAGCATTTTGCATTTTGTACAACTTCATGGTAGCCTGCTCTCTTTTTCTGTGTTTATCTTGGAAAAAAAAATAATGACAAGCCTCCCTTTTAAAATTGACATTTTATTGTCATTGGAATGAAAAAAACGTATGTTTGCTTTCAATGGAAAATGCTTATCGTTCCTCTAGAAACTGGATTCCTCCCATTCCTTTCCACCTTTTCTGCTGTAAACCTTTTTTCTTTCAGTAATAAAATAAATGTACCATTTTTACCTGCATCTATTACTCACTGTAAACTTTGCCGGTAGAAATAAGTTTATCCAATATTTGCATAAACTCTCCTCTACAGCCTGCTTCACAAAATTCCATTGAAAGATATAATTCACTTATTTTTGCTTTCTAAGAAAACATTCTCCTAAGCAATATTACATATTCTGTTAAATTATGATCAGACTTCTATAATGAGTTGTCCCTTCTGCCTCTGTATAGTGAGTTAACAATATCTAAAACAGTTTCCAAAATTCAAATGACCACAAGGCCTAATGGTAATTTCACAGTTGTGCTACTAATGCCTGTGCGGCGCATCTAGATTATTGTGTTTTCCAAATAGTGCATCTACTGAATAATATTTATAGTTTTAATATGTTTGTGTTATACAATTAAAGAAATACGTTTGCTTACTGTTGCCATGGGGGATAACCACACAGTTTAATGTGAATGGCATTGATTAAATGGACAATAATGCATCTGGATTACATAACTCTGACTGAACTCTGCCATCTAGGTTAAATAAAATATTGAAGAACTGCAAGGTGAATCGCATTGTCAATAACCTTCATTTTTCTTGGGTCTGTTGGTATTTACAGTGATGAAGCTCCAGGCAGCCAGTTGGTTACAGATAAGTTTCACATTGACTGGGATTCAGTGCTTGTCAACTCCGATAATGTCATCATAGCACGATTTGATGGCAGAGGGAGTGGATTTCAAGGCCTCAAAATTCTACAGGAAGTTCACCGTTGCTTAGGATCAGTGGAAGTGAAGGACCAAATAGCAGCCATAGAGTACGTATGTACAAACGTCTTTTATTTTAATCTATTTTTTCTAGATGGTAGGACCATCAAGCAATAGCCTTGCAGATTTTATTGCTTTCCTTCTGCCGAGTGAATCCATTAAGCATTTATCTATAGTGTAATTATACATTTTGAAACAATGATCTTTCCATTACAAAGTAATGAAATTAAGAAGAAAATCAAGGGTAAAATGTTTTTAGATTGATGTTTGTCTTTGCTAAAGCTTACCTTCAGAATTTAATGGAAATTTGCAAAGGAGATGTAGGTCACTTAATTGTGTACGTTCTTTAGGGAAAATACCTTATTGAAAATATGAAGTGCTTCATTGCAGTTAAAATATAGGGAGGTATAGACATTCAGAAGCCTGAGGCAGAATCAGTCTAAGTCTCATGGTTTTCTGTAAGTGGTGTAGTTTAGATTGGTAGCAGGCAGAACACAGATTAACCCTTTGGTAGTGGGGAGGGAAAATCTTAGATATGGTTCTGCCATTTTTAAGCCAGCCTATATTGCCAAACTTCTGTTCTATTACAGGTGGAGACTGATTTCCCATCACCTAAACTAATAAAGGTGTAATGTCTGTACCTGACCTTAATGTTTTAAGCAGATAGGATTGTGTTCTGATGTTGCTTAAGCCACGGTAGAGCCAGAGTTACTCTACCAAGTGTGTGGACTTACAATTTTATGAATGAGAGCAGAAATTGGTTGAAGGCTTTATTGCCTTTTCAGATGCAGCATTGCTTCTTGACCAGTGTAAACTCTTTCTTTATATTACAGTTAGAGCTGATTTATACCAATTAAATTGGAAGATGAAGCAGGCTTTTCTGTGTATTTACAGATCAGATATCTGATTGTACTTTTAAACTGTGTGTGCCATCCTGAATTAGAAAATGTCCTTAAATATAGGTGGGGTTTTGGTTGTAGCTGTGTTGGTCTAAGGCAGGGGTGGGCAAAATGCAGCATGCGGGCTGGATGTGGCCCGCCAGGCCATTCTGTCCGGCCCTCGGGGGCCCCCCCAGAAATTTAGAAAATTAATACTTATCTGTCCCTGGCTGCCTGTCATGCAGCCCTCAATGGCTTGCCAAAACTCAGTAAGCAGCCCTCCGCCCAAAATAATTGCCCACCCCTGGCTAAGGATGTAGACAGGCAAGGTTCTTTCAGTGATATCTTTCATTAGATGAACTGAGTAGCTGGAAAAAAAAGTTTTAGGCAAGCTTTTGGGTGCAGTCACCCTTCTTCAGGCATAGAGACTCCCTATGCCTGAAGAAGGGTGACTGCTAGGGCTGTGTGAAATTTCACTGGCTGTTTCATTTCAATGCTGTTTCGATTTGTTTTGAGCTCGAAACAGTGAAATCAAAATTAAATGAAGGGCTTCGAAACAGCCTCAGAATGAAACAAGGCAGTCAAAAAGTTTTGAGTTTCAAATCTGAAGCTGGGCTTGCCTGCAGGGAAACAGAAAGTAAGGAGAGGGAGGGGGGAGAAGGACTGCTCTGATATTGGCTGTGTAGCTGGCCAGTGACTGATCCTTCCCTGAGGTCCCTTCCAATCTCAGTGCTCTGGGGGAGGGATGGAAAAACAGCATAAAAAGCAGCATTGTTTGAACTGGCCTGCTTTCTGCTTAGGGGTCTGATAGCTACTGAGCTGTGTCTTCCAGAAGCTCAGGAGTGTTAGACAACTAGGCTACTCCTGCTATTGATATGATATCCTACTCGCTAGCCTAGCAAGTGGGATTCTGCAATACCATTTCCTTTCTTTCTAGACCCTTTTATTATTATATTCATTGATTTATTCATTTCAATTTAATAATTCTTTGGATATTATACTATAGAATTTATATAGGAAGGCAGATAAATTTGTATATTTTTTATTTTTATACATTTATATCTTGCAGCATATTATACTATATAATTTATATGAGAAGGCACATATACATTTATATATTTTTATAAAGGCAAGACACTATGAAACACACCATGAAGTGTGCTGGAAAGGCAGATGGCAAGCCTTCAGGAAGGGGAGGAAGAAGGGGTGGAGGGAGAGGTGTAAACCCCCCCCACAAACTGAGATGCAGCCTCTTTCGTACAACCAGCAGGAATGAGGCTTCCAGTTCTACAGGCAGCAAGGAGAGGGGAGCAGTGCCACTGCCGCTGCCTGTGCCTGAGTCTGCATCCCCTCCAAGAGCACCAACCATAACATCCCCCCACCACCGCCATGACAACAAGCATCAGCACCAGCATGGCAGTCTCCTCCATCCCCATTTCACTTCCCGTGCTGAGCCTTGCAGTGCCAGAGGAAGAGCTGGATCTGGTTCTGGGGCTGAGTGCTATAGCCAGGGAAATTCTGGGTTAGGAGCGGGAACCATCTGAGTTTGTGCTCCACACCCCTTAAGTTTCCCCTAGATCCCAGTCTCCTTCCCCCAAAGGCACTTCACAGGAGGCTGAGGTAGAGGTTGCAGAGGCAAGCAGCTCAGCTGAGTTGCTATGGCTCTGCCTGCTGAAAAGAGGAAAATGGCAGCATCCACACATGCACCCACACCCCAGAAGCAAGTGAGTAGTGTGGTCTGGGATCATTTCGAGCTGGCAGATGATCCCACATACACTATCTACCTTCACTGCTTAGCCAACAAGGGAACAAAATGCATGGGCACTGCAGAGATGCTGATGCATCTCCACAGGCACCACCCCCTTGCACTTGCTCGTTCTCAGCCTGGCATAAGTGGGAGCATGCCCAAAGGGAAGTACCCCTCTCACTCCAAAGCCCCCATCACCCCAAAGCAAAGGCAAGCCACCTTGAAACAGTGGGGCAAAGGCAGACAGAAAGAGGGGCATGTTTCAGAGTTGGTAGGGTCGGAAGGGACCTGAGCAGATCATCAAGTCCAACCCCCTGCCATGGCAGAAAAGAGTACTGGGGTCAAACAACCCCAGCTAGGTGTTCATCCAACCTCCTCTTAAAGATCCCCAGGGTAGAAGCCAGCACCACTTCGCTTGGAAGTT